ATCTTTTCAGTTGAAAATTTTCAAAGAATAGCATTAACCAGGATTGCGCAATTTTAGGCAAAATTTCACAACTATGCTGCTAAAGTCCCCATTAAATAAAAGAGGACTGCTGAAGAGATGAGTCCTTAGAGTGGAAAGCCATCAGCCTGTGACTAGGTATCATTAGGCTGTAAAGAGTAAATCTGTAAACATGTTCTTCCTATTCTTCACTTCACTTTTGGTTTCTTACCTCCAGGAGAAATGTAGAAACAGTTGAGTTGAGCTTCATGCACCAATGTACCCTTGAACTTCACCTCTGTTTCGGCAGACAGGTGACTGGAGAGCGGCTGATATGCAGGTGTAGAGGGCTGAACAAATGCTCGGAGCATTGCAAATTCCCAGATGTGTACTAATAGGTTGATTTTAAAACTAAACAAATATCCTGCTTGTGATCTTTTCTCCTTGTAATGAAACTATTCCTGTAGTGACATTTTGGAGCCACAAAAGTTTACAAGGTCCATACAATGGCTGCAAATTTAGACTATTTTTAAGTTTTAGAATTCTAAAAGCACACCTTTTTGTTTCTTGTCTTTTCCTACCTTCCCTGCTGTGCTTACTGCCAGAGTCTGGACAGGCCTCTCACCCAGTGGCTTTACAGGAAACCTTGGATTGAAATGTGAAGTTAATGGTTTCTGTCAGCCTGTCAGTTCATCACCTCCAGAAGGCATGATGAACTCTGGTTTTTGTATATCACCACGAGCTGTTCTGATATGCCCTCTTGTGTAGAAGAGTGATAGGTTTGTACAGAGGTTGGTAGACCTTGGGCAGAAAACTTCAGTTGGAATGTGCACTTTAATGGAATTCACAGCTCCTTTCCCAGTAGAATGCCTCTCAAGTTGCAAAACTATTTTAGGGAGGAAAAAAAATTTAGAACCAGTTCTAAATTTTATCTTGGTGCCACCTTTCAGTGGCCAGGACAGTTGATAAACCTATTTTTTATCCACCCCACCCCACCAACACGCACACGAGCTATTTAAACTTTATGTTCGAACTAAATCCTAACTGGGATGAGAAGAGTTATTTCAAAATGATCCCATTTTAAAACCATGTTGCTTTAAAGATAAATGTTCGGGTCCTAAAGCAGTCTCCCTGGTGTCTTAAATAATTACTACAAACCCATTCTTTTTTTCACTCTGAGTTGACATTTGAAAGATGTTTTTCTAGCAATTTCTCTCCATAAATCTGTATTCCAGTTATCTCATGGTAGTGTCAATGTCAAGTCAAGCTGCTTTTCTGTTGTATCAACAGTTTCCTTGGCATCCTACCCTTGTGAAAATCTAATTGCTTATGTCGAATGCCATAAGTGTCTAATATTGAGAAGAATGACACCCAAAATGTTTCTACTAATAAAGTTAACAACACCAATAGCTGGCTTTTCCTCTGCCATTGGGCCTTCTGTTTCTTGTTTTATACTGTGTTTTTCTCCCTTTCTATCACCTTTGTCCTTTGATAGTTTTGGGAAACTCAGTATCCAAGGAAAGAATGTTTTCCCTGGAGCCAAAAAAAGAACAGAGCAGGCTTCTAGGATTGTAACTAAAATTAAAGCCACCAAAACACACAAACTAATTCCAATTTATTAAGTGGTTGAACATCAATGATCCAATCTGCTTTTACCTACAAGAATAGGAGAGTAGGAGGGTTGGTGTGTAGGAATCTTTGTAGGGAATCAGGAGCAGGGAATGAGTGCTGTGGACTGGAAACAACCTTGAATGTGAAGTTTCCAGATAAGCATTTAAAGATCTTGAAATGAAAGAATTTTGTCTTGGAACAAAAACTATCACCAAGAACACATCACATTGTGGCATGTACCTATAATCCCAGTGGCTCAGGAGGCTGAGGCAGGAGGATATAAATTCAAAGTGAGACTCAGCAATTCAGCAAGACCCTGTCTCTAAATAAAATGTAAAAAAGGGCTGAGAATGTAGCTCACTTAAGCGCCCCTGGGTTCAATTCCCACTACCAAAGGAGGGTGGGGGAAGAGAACACAGCAACTTCAGAACTCAGATGTTGTTTTCCTTAAAAGATTGTCAGTGTACTAAGGAGGAATACATTGATGTTCAACCACTTAATAAATTTGAATTAGTTTGTGTGTTTGGGTGGCTTTAATTTTAGTCTGAATTTTATCTAAGAGGTTAACATGCATCAAGAAAAAGCTGGGATTTTTGTGTCCACTTTTATCCCCTTCAAATATAGGTGGGTAGAATAAAGATTCCTCATACACTGAGAATTACACAAAGTTTAAAACCTCATTGCCAACTCTTGGCAAGTTAATAATTCAGATTCGTAAGTTCCTCTTTAAGATCCTTGCTTAAAATAGCACTCACAAAACATTTTCATAACTTTTGCTCTCTGAGTTTTTACTGTCAAGAAGCAGAAGTTTCATACCTTGGCATTGACCAGGAAAGTGGGGGGGCACGGTAGAGTTAAAATATCCCAGCTGTTTTAATGACAAAATAATATTAATATAAATAAATATTTTGAATTTTTTTATTTTAAAAATGTTTTCCTTTAAAATTTTTATTTTGTTGGTCTTCATTATTCTATCATAATATTGTTTCTGTTTTCAATGAAGATTTCAAAAATGCATGTGTAGTTAATACATTATTTACATGATTAATACCACCAGATTCTCAACTAGATATTTATAAATGTATTTTGGAACTGTTTTAACCTTTACTTTATAAAGATGGTGGAGATAGGCATATACTAAATTTACTATATAACTCATTTTGAAAAATTATAGGAGAATAGTGACTATATTATACATTCTTTCAGTACTAAATGGTTAAATTATAGTCATATCTAATCTTTCAACAGTTGCAAATTTACTGTACAGACATTTTAGATTTGTTATTAAGTTTTTTTTAAACTACCCTATCCTAAAGCTCATAAAGCCAGTTTTTTAGTTAACATATTTCTGAGAGAAGGGGAATGGAGGGAGGTTTCTAGGCATAATCTGAGCATCAGGTTTCTGAATATTTAAAAATAAAAATGAAATGTGTTTATGAAATATGCAAATGGAGGACAGAAACAATGATGTCTTGAAGCCAGGAAGTTTAGAAATCCTAATTTCATTTTCAATCTATATTCATTTGTGTAAGAAGCATTTACCAAATGCCTATTGTGTTAAGGTGCTATATTTCCAAGGAAATAACTTTATTTAGACTTTGTGTGTGTATGTGTATGTGTGTGTGTGCGCGCACGCGTGCACAGGAACAGGACTACTACACATGGCTGTATGGGCTTAAAGAATTCCAATAAACAAAATAAAGATACTGTTTCCAACTACAACTAAAAAATAAATGTTTAAAAAAAAAGAATTCCAATGCTAGATTTTTATTTTATTTACTTTTTCTTTCCACATTTGTATTGGTGCTTTGTAGTTCTACATAATGATGGGATTTGTTGTTACATATTCATACACACACAAAATATAACAATATAATTTGGCCAATATCATTCCCAGCATTTCCCCCTACCTCCCTTCTTCCGGTCCCATGTCCCTTTCCTCTAGTGATTTCCCTTTGACTTTCATGAGATTTCCCCTGACCTCTGCACTTTTCTTTTACTTTTTCTTCTCTAGCTTCTTCTACATATGAAAGAAAACATACAAACCTTGACCTTCTGAGTTTGGCTTATTTTGCTTAACTTAATGGTCTCCAGTTCCATTCATTTTTCTACAAATGACATGATTTCATTTTTATTTATGGCTGAATAAAATTCTGTTGTGCACATATAACACATTTTCTTTATCCTTTCATCTATTGATGGACACCTAGGCTGGTTCATAGTTTGGCTGTTGTGAATTGGGCTGCTAGAAACATGGGTATGCATATGTCTCTATGTTATGATGACTTTAATTCTTTAGGATAAATACCAAGGAGTGATATAGCTAGGTTTTATGGTGATTCCATGCCTTGTCTTTTTGAGGAACCTCCATACTGATTTGCAAGTGGTTATACTAATTTACCATCCCACCAACAATGTAAAAATATTTCTTTTTCTCCACATCCTCTCCAGCATTTATTGTTGTTTGTATTCTTGATGACGGCCATTCTGACTGATATATGAGATGAAATCCCAGTGTAGTTTTGATTTGCATTTCCCTACTTTCTAAAAATGTTGCACATTTTTTCATATATTTATTGGCCATTTGTATTTCTTCTTTTGAGAAGTGTCTGTTTAGTTCATTTGCCCATTTATTAATTGGGTTATTTTTTGGTATAGTTTTTTGAACTCTTTATATAGATATTAATCCTTTGTCATAAGAGAAGCTAGCAAAGATTGTTCTCCCATTCTGTGGGCTCTTTCTTCACATTCCTAATTGTTTCCTTTGCTGTGCAGGTTTTTAATTTGATATCGTCCCACTTACTAATTTTTGACATTATTTCCCGAGCTTTAGGGATCCTATTGAGAAAGTTGTTGACTGTGCCTATGTCCTAATGTTGACCCTAGATTTTCTTCTAGGAACTTTGTAGTTTCTGATCTAATTCCAAGGTCTTTGATCCATTTTGAGTTGTTTTTTGTGCAGGGTGAGAAATAGGGTCTAGTTTCATTCTTCTACATAAGGATAACCAGTTTTTCCAGCATCATTTTTTGAACAGTCTCTTGTTTTCTTCAATGTATGTTTTGGCACCTTTGTCAAGGATCTGATGACTATAGATGTGTAGATTTGTCTCTGTCTTCTATTCTGTTCCATTGGTCTGTGTGTCTGTTTTTATGCCAATATCATGCATTTTTTGTTACTGTAGCTCTATAGTATCATTTGAAGTCAGGTATTGTGATGACTTCTAGTGCTAGATTTTTAAGCTTCACTCCAATATTGTCTTCATTTATTTCATAATTATTGAATAAATTAATTTAATACATAAATTATTAGGTATTTTAAGATGGAAAGGAAATTTTTTTTCTATTTTGTGGTTTTGAGGATGCTCATACTTTGTTCAATGTGTTTTTTGCAGTGTCCATTTATGGAATTTGGTTTTACGATAAGGAAGAATGCCAAAGAATTGCAGAGCTTATGAAAAAGTAAGTGTTGAAAAGCTAAATATTTTTCAGGACCTAATGCTTTTGTTGTATTTCTAAGTGTCTATAACTGTGCCGTAATCTTAACAGGATGCATCTCTTATAGCAATCATTTCACAGTGGTCAAGAAAACATTTATTACTACTTAATGAATGAAAAGTAGACATAAGAAATGATTTGCTACATTTCACTAGATTTATCATCTAGAGTGACTCAACTCATTTTGTTCTGCCTATGTGAAATACATGAAATATAAGTTGTTCCATATGGCAGTTTTCCTTAATATTTTCATTTGTAAATTTGCATTTTTTTTTGCTTTGAAAAGTTGATCAGTAAAAAGAACATTCAGTGCCATCCTAAAAGGCTGCTCCAGATCCTCTAACATTTTCCATTTCCTTTCTTTCCTAAATACTTGCTTTAACTATATGTCCATGTTTGTAGGAGCTCTGAATATCCTCCCATGTCTCAAGTGTCAAACACCAAGTACTTAAGATAGTCTTCCTGTTCTATCTCTGGAAAATGGTTTACATTACTGCCTGACTTCCCACTCTTAGCTTCCCTGATTGCATTGAAAGGAAAGCCCAAGTAGCTGGGCACAGTAGGTAGGCCTGTAATCCCAGCAATTTGGAAGGCTGAGATTCCCAGTTCGAGGCCAGCTCCAGCCACTTAGTGAGATCCTCAGCAACTCAGTGAGACCCTGTCTCAAAATAAACAAATAAAAAAGGGCTGGGATGTAGCTCAGTGGTAAAGTGTTCTTGGGTTAGATTTCCAGTATCAATTAAAAAAAGAAAGAAAGGAGAGCCCAAGTAAGCATGCTATCTTCTCTGATTGGTTTACTTTGATCAGTTCCTGAGCCTAGGGCTGCTCACTGTGAGGCAGTTATTTCCCTGATATTTATGAGGATGGGTAAGAGACTCAGAATGAAATATGTTTCCTACGGTGCTGGCTCTCAGCCTGGGACTGGACTAAGTCAAGCACATAGGACAGCTGCTGCCCACATGGATGTGATGCTGCAGCTTTGTCTGCAAAAGAACCAATTTCCATTTTAAAATCCTGAGGCAGAAAATTATTAAAAAGTGACCCCAAGAAGATGAAAAAATGGGGATCCCTTTTTTTATTAAAAAAAAAATTGATTCCTGAAAATCTAGCTTGCAAGAGCTAATTTTAGATAACTAGCTCAAGTTGCAGATGGTGATTAAGTGTGTTCAAACTGGTATTTAACACCATAACAATGAGTTCCTAGAACATTCACGTTATTGTAAATCGTGCAGTGGATAATAATAGCAGGATTTTTCATATAGATTAAAAAATACCCTGTAACTCAGCCAAGAGGCCATGGTAAAATTGTCAGCATTCTGCAGTAATTGCTTAACAGCTCGGTCAGGAAATTGATTATTTACTAGCAATAAGCAGCCAACTTGTGGGAACAGACCCCTGTCCCAGTTAGAATTAAATCTCTCAGTAAATTCTCAGATCTCTTTTTACCATAAACTTCATGACAATAATAAAAGAATTTGAGCTGAAAGTCAAAGCACACAAAGTGAAAGGCATTTTTCTCAACATTACCTTGCAACATGTAGGAGCAATCTGGTCTCCCTCTGTGTTGTTTTCAGGGCAACAAAATACACTCTTCATTTCATTGCTGTAAGCGCCTTTTAAAATGCTCCTCTTTTCAAAATTGGGATGAATTCTGCATTGAGTCTTTACTGCCAAGGAAGTATAGGATTTGAGCCGCTACACTCAAACTTGCTTTGGCTTCAAGGCACTCTGAGACAAGAAAGGAGAAAAAATTTTTCTTTGTTGTGCAGTTTCCTCACTACTTGAAAACTCTAAATAGGGCTTTCTTAGCAGTGAATGACAGAGTCCTTTCAAGTGCTCTAAACTAGGAGCTGGCAAACTAACTTCTGAAAGAGAGCAGATAGTGAATATTTTAAGCTTTTCAGGCCATATGATCTCTCTTGCAGCTACTCAGCTCTGCTACAGTACTAGGAAAGCAGCCTTACACAATGCAGAAACAAATGAGCAGGGCTGTGTTTCTAACTTTCTTTACAAAAATGGGTGGGGCACTGAATTTGACCTGCTGGTTATAGTTTGCTGACCCCTACTCAATATTCATAATGTAGTCAATTAAGACCTCACCTCTCATTTTTCTTCTTTGAATTCCTGAAGTGTTATTTCTAATATGTTTATAAGAGGATGAAAACAACTGGGTAAGAACTGGGATGGTTTTTAAAGCCATTTGTGTTAAATCAGTTTTCCTTATGTGGCTCTTTCCCTCTGTTTTTCTAGCCTAACTCAGTATGAACAGTTGAAAGCCCATCAGGGAGCTACAGCAGGAATTTCCCCAGTGATGCCCAATTCTGGAGAGGGCAAAGAAGTAGATATCTTACGAATGCTTACCAAAGCCAAAGATGAATACACAAAGGTGAGCTTTTACCCTTTCTTGTGATACATACTTCAATTCCATTATGGGAATATTGTCATTAAGAAAGACTGGTCACTATTCCAAGTAAAATTGCATGGAAAACAAAATGTTTATTTGCTTTTAGTAGGCTAACGGAAACTGCTTTTAAGTGAATTAAAAGACTATTGAGAAATCAATAGTCTTTATATAAACAAACAGCATCCAGTTAGAAGATGCACTGGGAAAGAAGACACCAATAATAGGGTAACAAGGGGCTATGGGCATTTGCCTGGCATGTGTGAGGCACTGGGTTTGATTCTCAGCACCACATATAAATAAATAAAATAAAGGTCTATCAACAACTAAAAAAATTTTTTTAAATAAGTAGTGACAAATTGCATAAAATCCTTTGTAATAAAATTCATCCAAAAAATGGACAAAACCTGAAGAGAAAAACTTAATAATTTTTGGAAAGCATAAAAATAGACTTGAACAAATATGCCCTGTTTTCAGATGAGAAAATTCAACATAAAGCTCTCAGTTCCCCTTAAGTCCATAAATTTGAAGTAATCCCTAAGCAAGTATCACTGGTTTCTTTTCTCCTCTTCCTCCCCCTCCTATTTTTCCTCCTCCTTGTAGAGCTAGACAAGTTGACCATAAGGTTCATGTAAAGAAATATACAGGGAATAATAACTGGAAAATCCCTAGCAAAGAACAACAATGTTGGCAAGGGTGGGGATGAAGGGACACAAAGGGATAGGGGTGGGAGGCAGGGGCAGAACAACCTCTACCTGATATTAAAATTTGATATTAAAAATTGAGTTCTAAACTTTTAAAACAATATAAATTGATGGTATTGATACACAAACAGCCAGATGGATCAATGGAATAGATGAGAAGGTCCAGAATTAGACCCAAGTGTATGAGAAATTTAGGATCTAATAAAGGTAACTATTTCAGATACTTAAATGGATTTTTAAATAAACAAATTGTTTAGGCAACTTGTATTATTTAGAAGAGTACAAAATTGAATCTATACTTTATACCATATGCTGGGGTACATTTCAAATGTGTTAGAAATTCATATAACAAAAGATAACTTATAAGGATTTCTTTGCAGTCTAGGAATAGAGAAATCTTCCTAACTGTGCCTTAAAAGCAATTAATTTCAACTACATAAAAATAAACAGTGAATATTTTTTCAAAGTTTTAAAAAAGAAGCAAAGTGAAAAATTATAAAAACAACAGAGAAAAAAAATTTGTACCTAAAAAATAGGAAGTGGGCTAATTTCCCTATTTTATAAAGAGCTACCAAAAATTGAGAAGTAAAAGATTAATCCTCTCTAGAAAAATGGACAAAAATAAAATTAAGAAGAAAGAAAAGAAAAATCTTAGAATTTTTATTAAACTAGCTAAAATAAGTATATGTAACTGAATATCATATTATAACATAATTACTTGGAAAAATAAGAAAGACTTCAAAATAGTGTTAGTAGGTTATATTTTAAGGGGCAAAGAAATTATGAACTTAAGTGGTTTTATTGTTAGTAGGAATATTAGAATTATAATTTCTCAATTGTCATGGATATAATAAATAAGAAATTACATTAATGTGTCTGGAGCCAAATCCTCCGTGTAAGAGTAAAAAAAAAAAAGAAATCAAATAAATTAAGTTAAAACTGCATAATGTTAAATATTATTAGTTCACATTTTGTTTCTTAACTATAGAAACAAAGAATACTGAATCCCCTGAAAAGATCTAGAAATACATGACAACCCAGTAGCAATAAGTATTTTTTGTCCCACAGTGAAAATTTGTTTTTATTTTTATCTTAAGAGTGTTTTTATCATTAAAATATCTTGTTCAACAATTCATATCTATGTCATACCTGTGATTAAGTGTCTAAGGAGCAAAGAAACTCAGTACCTGCCCTTATTCCTTTGACTCACTTGACAGCATGTTGGATGCCCACAGATGTAAGGAGTGCTAGAGCTGGGAATCCAGGAGCAGATGACACAACCTCCTGCCTTTCAGAATTTTACAGTTGAGTGGACCAATAATCACACCTTAATAACAATACAGAAAATGCAGTGAGAGAAATGTGTTAGTCTATGTAGACTCTGGCAAGGATTTGTGATAATCCAGAGGAACAACTTCTCAGGATTCTTCCTTAGAGGAGATTCTGTAATAGATTGTCCTTTTTTATTTTTAATAGTTTCCAATGCTTTTACTCACATGATTTTTTTAAAATTCTAATTTGTTATGTATGAAGCAGAATGCATTACAATTCATATTATACATATATGACACGAATTTTCATATCTCTGGTTGTACACAAAGTAAAGTCACACCATTCGTGTCTTCATACATGTACTTAGGGTAATGATGTTCATCTCACTCCACCATCTTTTCTACCCCTAGATGAATTCTAGATAGAGAACTAAACACTTCTGTCACCCAGATTGTTATTTCTAAGTATTATTTCTCCCTAAAAGGTATCTGGGGTCTTTGGAGAAATTTCAAATTGCAGGTCTGGGATAGTAAAGCCACACATCACTTTATACTATACCTGTGGTTTGGACTATTTCCTCCTTCATTTTGTTTGCCTTTCAGAATCCACATATCCTTCCAGGCCATTTTTTACATGGAATTTTTCCACATTTCTTCAAATTACCATCCCGGTAAACCTTTCTTCCATCTGTGTTGTTCTCTCTCCCCCACACAGTCTACTTCTCTGTAGAACTTATTTTGTTCTTTCTCATTTATTACATTTAAATCAACTTCTCCCACAACATTATCAATTTATTGAGATCAAAATAACATTATATTTATCTTTATGTCCCCATAGTTTTGTTGTTATAAAATGTTGACATGAAATGCAGATGTTTAATTAGAGTACAGACTGTTTTTCTATAAAAATCAAATACATTATTGTCATGTATGTAAGAAATAAAAATAAATAAATAAAATACATAATGTCAGTTGCTCCCACTATGAGACAAATAATAGAAGAAATTATTCCTTTCTCCATTAGCAGCCATATGATATAATGTAACTTTCTAGAAGCACCTGCATAATCATGTAGGGGTCTAAATGCTTAGTTTTTCACTGAGTGGTGTATGAACCCTTGGGCTCTTTAGGCCTTTGACAACATGGCCTCGGGTTATTCTTAACCCCATTATCTTCTACAAATATTTGAAACTCCTGCCAAACAGAATAGCAATTTCGCTTTCTGGAAGTGCCTTCTTGTCTTTTCTCATGCTGTCTCCTCCCTTTCTTCACCCAGTCACATAGGATCAACCTTTCAAGGCCCATTTCAAGTGTTTTTTTCTCTGTCACTTAACCTGACCTAAACAACTAGAGGTGTGTGTCCCCTATTAACTTCCACTGTCAGGTAACCTTTCTTCCATCTGGTTGTCCCCTCTGCCACACACAGCATTTCAGGAAAATAAGATCGTAAGTAAAGTGGTTCTGAGGTATAAAGAAAGGGGGGAAATGGAAAGAGAATAAAGAGAGAAAGAAAATAAGATTTTCTTCAGAATTCTTGTGGATAAGTGAGTCCACATTATTGGAAGTGTCTAAGAAGAGATGGAAAGATTACCTATTGGGAATGTTATAAAAGAATTTCACTTTTCTAGGTAACTGTTAAACTAAGACTTCTGAGATCCTTTTCAATTCTAGAATTTTTTGGTCAGTTTTATTTTTTAAATTATTTTTTATTATTTGAAAAATAAAATTACATATATTATTGTATATCTCATGATTTTATACTTGTATACATTATGGAATGGCTAATCAAGCTTAATTAACATGCATTACCCCATATATGTAATATTTTTTGTGAACACTTAAAATCTACTCTTTTAGCAACTTTCAAGTATGCAATATATTGTTTTTAATTATAGTCACCATGATACACACAAGATGTCTTAAGTTTATTTCCTCCTTTCTGATTTTGTATCCTTTAACCAACATCTCCCCAGTCCCCCCACCATCAGCCTCTGATAGCCACCATTCTACTCTCTGCTTCTGTGAGTTTCATTTTTTTTAAATTCCACATAAAAGTGAGATCATGTGGCCTTTGTCTCTCTGTGCCTGGTTGATTTCCTTTGACATATGACCTCAGGATTCATTCGTGTTTTCACAAATGACAGGATTTCCTTTCTTTAAAAGGCTGAATAATATCTCATTATGAATATATACCACATTTTCTCTATTTGTCTGTTGATGGACACTTAGGTTGATTCCATATCTTGGTGTTATGAATAATGCTGCAATTAACTTGGGAGTGAAGTTATCTCTTTCACATATTGATTTCGTATTCTCTGGATATATACCCAGAAGTGGGATAGCTGGATCTTATGGTAGTTCTATATTTAATTTTTTGAGGAACCTCCATATTGTTTTCCATAATGGTTGTACTAATTTACATTCCAACCAACAATGTAAGGGTTCCCTTTTCTTCACATCTTTACCAACACTTGTTATGTTTTGTCTTTTTTATAACAGCCATTTTAACTGGAGTGAGGTGATATTGTGGTTTTGATTTGCATTTCCACCTATGTTGGGCAAAGTTTTACCACTGAGCTACACCCCAACCTGAGCATTTTTTAAATATGCTTGTTGGCCATTTGTATATCTTTTTAAAAAAAAATGTTCCTTCGGGTCCTTTGCCCATTTTTTAAATTAGGTTATGTTTTCTTACTTTTGAGTTGTTTGAGTTCCTTACATATTTTGTATATTAGGCCCTTAGCACATGTATAGTTTGCAGAATATTTTCTTCCATTCCATAGGTTATGTCTTTACTCTGTTGTTTCATTGCTGTACAGAAGCTTTATAATTTTATATAATTCCATTTGTCTATTTTTGGTTTTGTTGCCTGTCCTTTGGGTCATAGTCAAAAAATAAATAAATAAATAAATAAATAAATAAATAAATGCCCAGACTGATGTCGTAAACCTTTTTCCATATATTTTTGTCTAGTATTTTTGCAATTTTAAGTTTTAAACTTAAGTCTCTGTAGAATTCCTCATGAAAATCCCAAGAAGTAAAAGAGGAAAAGTTTTGAGCTATATTTAGGTATATGATATTAGTAAAGTAAGGCCTAGTGATACAACTTTTTACAGAAAGCTAATAAAACAATATAAACATTTAATTTTTGCTAATATTTTAGGTTTCTTTAGAAACAACTTTCTATGAATCTGCTTTAAAGGACAATATTAATTTGTGTGCCATCTCCCTTTACCTCTTCCTTATTTAACTTGTAGTTGAAATTCAAGCAAATAGTAAAATAACCTTTAAAAAGTTCAATAAGAAAAAGAACCAGCTTCAGCAGTGATGTGTGGGTTGTACAGTGAGGTTCTGGATATTTAGTAGTGGACTCTATTTGTTGACTTAAGACAAGAGTCCCTCATTTTTAGATAGAATTGTGATTTATTTAATTGTCTCTTTTGATGTTCAATGAGGAAATTCTAAAATGTGAAAAATAAAAGGAAAAGATACATATACATAATGGAATACTATTCAGCCATAAATTTAGATGGCATCCTTTTATGGATGGATCTGAAAGATATTACATTAAGTGAAATAAGCCAGACACAGAAAAACAAATACTACATGATCTCACTCATTTGGAATCTAAAAGTAACCTCAGAAAATATAATAGTGGTTATCAGAGACTGAGGAGGAGAGGGAGGTTGAGGATGGGAAGAGATTGGTCAATGGGTACGGTGTTACAGTTCAGCGAAATCAGTTCTAGGGTCCTATGATACAGTGAGGTGACTGTAGTGAACAATAATGAACATTTTAAAATAGCTAGAAGGGAGGTTTTTGTATGTTCTTGACACAAGGAAATGGTAAATCTATGAGGAAAAGATGTACTAATAAACCTGATTTGATCATTAAACAATATATATTGTATAGAAGCATTACATTGTACCTCATAGGTATGCACAATTGTTATGTATCAACTTTTACATTTTTAGTTAATAAAAGAGAAAGCACCTATAATCCATAACCCAAAATGTCTGCTTTTGGCACTTTTATTTTATTTTTTTTCAGACATATCTCTTGGCCCAGACACATATATTTGTGTATGTGTGATTGATAAAATGGGACGTAGCTTTTTAGGTTTTAAAGAAATGCTTCAAGTTCTCCATGAAGAATCCATTACATATGTTTTCAAAAGCTGTGTTTTTTCCCAAGTATTTTAAAGTTATTTGGATTAAAGGAAGCCTAGAAAATTAAACAACTGGAAAATTAGCTACAAAATACTGAGGTGAATAATGTTTAATTCTGAGCAATTTGATAGGGAGCAATTTTTATAAAGCAATGCCTCTCAGAGAAGTAGACAGTTGTAGTAACATAGAAGATAGTTTCTAGAGACACAGTAAGTGGAAAAAGCTACCTAGGAGCATAAAGAGAGGCAAACAGCCTCTTGGCCCATCTGGATATCAGCATGGGGAAGGTGGGAAAAATATGTTTTCTTTGCTTGAAATTTAGTTCATAGAAAATTAGTGAAAGTAAATATCTACTTTATTGCAGATAGAAAGCAAAAATGAAAGGTATTTCACACGAAAGTCTTTTAAGTGACTATATCTCAGTAATATTCTTGTCTTGCCTCGTTGGTTATCCGTGTCGTAGAATAGTTAGGCCAGCTGGCCATCAGCCATACCATCACCATCATCATTCACCTAAGAATAAGAATAACACTTTTATGACTCATAAAGTGATTTCACATCCCACTTAATACTAGGGCCACACACCCAAATGATTGACAGAATTCTTGAAAGAAAATAGAATGTTGTATGGTTAACCTTATAAATCTTAAGTACACTCAGTAGTAATATATCCCATGCTCCTATATCCTTGAATTTAAAAATGTACCCCAATAACTGGAAAACACATTGGGAACCTTGGGTTCCTGAGGGATAAGATTGTGTTTATAGCTCATTCTGTATCAGGTACAGTGTGAAATGTCTTGTAGCCTGAGGCCTGAACTATACAGTTGAAACTAATGATGCTGTAGAGAATCTATAGTACAGAAGGTAGTGTTTTTATAGTGTTTTATTTGATGCTTTAGCAAAGTAGACACCAACATCATGTTGTTCTCCTTTTATTATGAATCCCACTGTGTTAGCAATTGCATGGTTGGTTAGATTAATGGATGTTAATGAGTCAGCATTTGAAATGATAAGGCTTGTCTCTTGTCTCTTTCTCTTTGAAAATCTAATTTGTAGTGAGTGGCTCAGAACACTCAGATTTGAATTATTGTGTTTATGCAAGAAGCCATTTATTAAATAAAGATGATATTAGTAATTTTTAAATCAGTGGTTTGAGTCAGCTCTTATTCTTGGTTTAGTTGCATTGATGTAATATATTCAGTAACTCTCCCACAAATGGAGGGGAAACCCTCTATTCTATTCCAGACATGTTATTTAAGGAATAGTTTCTGTAACTATTTATCATTGAAAAGCATTAGAGCATATCTTTTAAGACTATTACTTACACAAATAGATAACCTTTCAATTATACAAGTATTTGAGAACTCTAGACCCTCAGGCTGATGTTGTTGACAATAGTTTAGGGCACTGAATTGTACAACTAAGAAAAATTAAAATTAAAATTTGATTTATACCCAAATATAGCTCAAACCACAGAAATCTAAGAAATTATCCCTTGTGCATGAGACCTATCCAAAGGAAAAAAAAATCATCTACCAATTAGATAAGAAACAGAAGGTGTTTTTTTTAAAAAAACAAAACAAAACAAAACAAAACAAAACACTAAGGCAATCTTTTACACCAAAGATTGAGATGTTTGTTTTTTCCATTTCAGTGTAAAACCTGTTCCGAGCCAAAACAGATAACGAGTTCATCTGCCATCTATGATAACCCTAATCTCATCAAACCAATCCCAGTAAAACCCAGTGACAACCAGCAGCAGCTCATACCTCAGCCCAGCCAGGTAAGTTCTCTGCTTTTTTAATCTCAGCCTCTCTGTGAAATTCTTAAAGAACTTTTACCCAGAGTATATCAGCGGAGGGCCTGGTGCCATTGAAGAATGCTGAAGGTCAATCTAGGAAAAATTTCAAGTTAAAGTTTTTTATTATTAATGATTTATTTTTCCTAGACAGAGGTTAAAGTTTTTACTTTGTGTATTTACCACCTTCTGTGCTCATGTCTTGTGGACTTGAACGCCTTAGAAGATACTTGTTTTAAAAACCATCATCAGATGACCAATAACTATGTCTGAGGCAACAGAAACATTTCCCACTGGTTCTATATTCTTTCTGGAGTAGGTGGTTTCCAAGGTCACTGAAAGAACAACCACCAAAGCTGCAAAACTGAATTTAATATTTCTTTTTTTGGAGTGGGTATGAGGGATTGAACTCAGGGGTGCTCGGCCACTAAGCCATATCCCCAGCCCTATTTTTGTATTTTATTTAGAGACAGGGTCTCACCAAGTTGCTTACAGCCTCGCTTTTTTGCTGACGCTGGCTTTGAACTTGCAATCCTCCTGCCTCAGCCTCCCAAGCCGCTAGGATTACAGGCGTGCACCACCATGCCCGGCAGTGAAGTTAATATTTCTGAGCACTTCCTTATGCCAAGCATAGGGCTAGGTAGGAACTATGTGAAGAGAATGGGGTATTTGTTCTCGATGAGCTCAGTGTTTAAAGGAGTGATTTAAAAACCTCCTGTAGAGGGAGGAGGGGAGGAAAAAGGGAGGAAATGAAAAAGGAGTGAGATGATAGTTATGTGCATGTATGAATATGGTATAATGAATCCCAACATTATATATAATTACAATGCACCAATAAAAAATTTTAAAATAAAAATCCCCCATAGACCTGATAACTTGTCACTGTATTTGCAATTTAAAACATAAATGTGGCAGCTTTATATGCAATTTAAAAGGTAAAAAATAGCAGATTTTTTGTCAGTGTATGTTTATGTATTATATATATGTGTGTGTATGTGTATATATATATATATATATATATATATATATATACATATATATATATTTCAGAATAGTACAGCAATAACAAAACTTGCTAATCTGAAAGCTTCATTTATTGCAAATATAGTGTCTGTCATTTAATTATGGTTATTCCTGATTAAAGGTTTTTCTTCAAGGAATTAGTTTAAACCAAAATTCTGAAAATGAACAGGGAGCCAAAGATGAAGACTAAGAAGTCTTTTCTCATTTCTTTTAGCTTTCTTTTTATTGCTTTCCATGGAAATTTTTATTATATTTTAATAGAGAAACCAGAATATATTGACTTTAGAATGGAGCTCATGTTTTCTTAATGCGACAGTGCAGAAGGTGGCCGAAAGAGGTAGAGTCGATCCAAAGAGGAAAAGAGGAGCTCTCTAGCTGGCTGGCCAAGACACAGTGTACATATCTGATAACTGTTCTTTAAAAAGCCACTGGCATATAGTTGAAAAGATCAAGTTGTAGTAAATGACTTGTTTCTTTCCAGCTCTAGATTTCTGTAATTCTGTGAAAAGCTATCAGGAACCTAAACTCCTCCTATTTCTGTGTATTCTCAATACCTTTGTACTCTACAGGCTTAAGTGGACTTCCTGTGGTAGAGAGTGTTTATCTGTTAGTATATGTAATTTTGTCCCATAGTAGTTTCCAATCTATGAACCCCAGGCCCCCTCGAGGATCACATGTCTACTTTATCAATCAGCAGACATGAAAATATAATGACTATCTTAGGGGTAAGAGGGTATGAAAGAATTTGACATTAAAAAGAAAGTCTCAAAATTTTCAAGTTTATAATTTTTTCATTCTCTCTAATTGATCCTTTTTAATAGAATAAATCATCAGTTAGGTAAGTTATGTTTTGTATCCCTCTTCCATAACCAAATTGTGTGTGAACCCATTTTCAGATATCTTTATTTTTTCCAGACCTTAGACCCTGAACCCCAACACTTATCCTTGACAGCTCTGTTTGGGAAGCAGGACAAAGCTATCTGTCCAGAAACTGTAGCACTCCCCCACACTCCCCAGCAACAACAGCAGCAGCAGCAGCAGCAGCAACAGCAGCAGCAAGAGAAATTTCCAGTTAGGCAGGGAGTTGTACGCTCCCTGTCCTATGAGGAGCCCAGACCTCTCATGGAGAAGCAGCTTTGTCCAGCCATTCAAAAACTCATGATCAGAAACACGGACCTGCACCCACTGTCAGAGCTGCCTGAACAACGGCCCTGTGAGAATGGAAACTCCTATTCTGCCAGGGAAATTATTCCTGGACCTCTCCAGCCAGGGTCTCCCCATAACATCAGGACTTCACATGCTGGGCACAGCACTTCCAGAACACAGAACCTGTTAGAGAAACTCCAGAGTACCCCAGGGGCAGCGAACAAGTATGACCTTAGTACACCAGGCCCTGTGAGCCCAGCTGCCCCCAACAGCAGCAGAACCTTCTCTGCTGCCACTCCTGTGACTCCAGCCAAGGACCTGGCCCAGCCACAATTGGTGTATTTCAATGGCTCCCTTCCACCTCAGATGCTAGGACATCAGGCTCATGGAAAGGGACAGTCCACCCTGCCAAGACAAATGCTCCCTGTCTCTGACAGTCAGACGAGCAGTCCTGGGGTGATCTCCCCCCAGGAGTTACTGAGAAAGCTCCAGGTTGTACAACAGGAGCAGCAGCTACAGACCTCTCACCGTCCAGCCTTGGCAGCCAAGTTCCCTGTGGTGACCCAGAGCTCTAGGACAGGCAAACCCTTGGAGCCATGGATCAACAGGACATCCAGCACAGAGAAGCAGGCTCCTCTTTTGCAGGTAAGTATCGACTACCACCCCACCACCACCACCCCCTGCCACCAGATATCTTATCACTATGATGCAGTGAAATTTGCAATCTGCTTCTGCCGTAGGAGCCAGGTATCATACACATTGCTGTTTAAAGCCATCCCTATGCATCTTCTTGGCCTTACCTCTCTGCCTGGAAGGAGAAACTTTGCTTAGCAGTGTGGAAGCTCCCCCAACCCCCACACTTTAGCACTTGTTTATTTGTAAAGTCAAATCCTCATTAAGCTATAAGGTCTAAAGACCAGCACAGACATAGAAAAGAACCTATCTTTACCTATGGAAACTAAAAATGGCCTGGTTTAAAATCACTCTGAAATATCAAACATCTGACTTCTTGTTTTTCTCTCTACAATTATTGCTTGTTCATCGATTTAGTAAATGATTTTGAGCACTTCCTACATGTTGGGCATTGTGCTCTACAACAGGAGAGAGCCAACTCCCTACCCCCTATAGAACCCACAGTCATGTAGATCCTTAAGTAAGCAGAAAACACCTCATAAAAGTAACAACCTATTTTATCCACCTCTAAATCATCATAGCTTAATGAAGATCAGGGAAGGGTTAAGTGTGCCACCTACCTCTGTTCTCCATACACAAGCTGCCACAGAGGGGAGAATCTTAGAATTTTTAGAAATATTCTAACCTTTTCTGGGGAGATGGTTCTGTATATCCATCAATAACTGGGAATTGTGAGAAAACCAGAAGCTGCTGGTTCATCTGCCTGTGGTGATATCTGGAGATCTGGCTCGGGATAGTGTTCTCTTTGGATGGCCACAAAATCACTGAAAATATAATGGTTTAAAAATCAAAAGTTCCCCCTCCTTATAACACATATTACCACTGGTCTTTTTGACATGTTGTGTAATGTAACTTAAAACAGTTCCTCAGAAAGCTTTTGCTTTTTTGAAAACAAAGATGTTGGCTGTGTGCCATAACTCTATGTACATGAAATACTGTGTCCAGATCTTTTCCCTTTTTTTTTAATTAAAATCCCCAATCTGAGTGCCTTCTAATGACGTTTATAACTCACCTTCACCCTCATTTCAGCATGACATTGTCCCCCTTTTAAAATGTCTTTTTTTTTCTCTTTGATGACTTAGAATTAGAAAAGTGGGATTAATAGTCTGATTTAGATTTCTGCATATATAATTCTCTCTTCAGTACTCACAAATGTCAAGAGCCAAGTAAGGAAAGTGTACATTCTGGCAGCCCACGCTGTGCTCTTCCTAATGCTGTGACTCCTCCCGTGGGGAGCATCAGTTCTCAGCACCTCTCCTCAAAATATCAAATAGGGACAAGTTAAAAGAAACAAACAGCCCATCTTCCTCTAGGCCAGTATCTGCTAAAAAAAAGATGCCAAGGGAATGATTATAAAATTATAGCAATTTCTATATCGCTGGCTTCTCTACCTCTCTTCTCATGACCTCTTTGAGGGTATTCGGAAGCTGAGAAATAACATCCCTTTTTCTTACCTGAGTTAAAAACACATGATAACTGTAGGAGTTAGTCAGACAGGGATCAGAATGTCACTTGCATAACTGGAAAAGCCATTGGGAAACTTGGAACTTGGTTTTAGGTCTATAGCCAAGTGAGTTAGACACACTTACCCAGACAGACAGGTCACCAGCAGTGCTGCCAGCATGTCAGCCTGGAGAAACAGAAAACACTCCACAAGTAGGCGGGTCCTATCAGGAAGGGACCCGAGGGAGTAAACCCCACAAATCATGGTCCCTCCTTGTAACAAATGAGTGAGGCAGCAGAGGAGCGGGAGAAGTGCCCCAAATAAATACATGCAGCAACTCGCATGGTTGCTTGGATTTTTAGGTTGGGGCAATGGACAGCACCCTTGAGGAAGACCAGCATTCCTAAATGCATATTATCCCAAAGCCAAGCTTTATATGCAGTGGGAATACAACAGCTGGCAGAGTGACTGTTCCAGAGCTGCTTAGTGATGCCAAAGGAAAACACTTAAAGAATTGAGCAGACGTCAGTTATCTCATATAAGTTTTTCCCACCTGGTGGAGCTGTGAACAATTAATACTGAGATTCACTGATATCCACCATTGTACACAAGGGGCCTCTGCATCTTGAGTTTCGGTGGGCTCCTCCTTAATCCTGCCTGTGTGTATGTCTTTGTTGTGAGCAGGTCATCTCACCTCAGCGCACTCCTGCTACAGTGGCTCCTTCTCTGCTCATGTCCCCCATGGTGTTCACAAAAGCCTCCAGCACCCCACCGAGGGAGAGGGATAATGGGCTCTTGCTCCTGGGAGGCCAGGAATCACCTGCTGCCCCCACCAGCCTCCTCCTGCCCCTGCAGAACCCGGAGCCCTCTGTGGTAGCCGGCAGCCCACTCACCAGGCTGCAGCTCCAAGAAGCACTGCTATATCTGGTTCAGGTAAGAGGGCCCTGTCATCTCCCTTCCCTCCTTACCCAACCTGTGGACCTACTGGTTGTGGCCATGAGATATAAGCGGATGCCTATTTAGTCCTCCCAAGAACAAGAAGGGAGCCTGTAACAACTCGGCGTGCACCCCAACGGCTTCTGAACTCAGCCAGCTGGACAATGTTTAGAATACTAATTGTGGCATTGGATGTCTGTACCCTTCAAGGGATTTGTGACTTGGAGAATTGACTTAAAGCCTCCAAGCTGTCACCTGTCAGAAAAGAAGGCCAACACTGAGGGGCCTCTGGGCACTGCAGGGTGCCCAGAGAGTTCACTGTGGGAAACAAACGTAAGGCCCATCTTGGAAGTCGTAGTCTTGAGTCCAGCAGACTATCAAACATGTAGGAACAGGCAGGGAAGCAAGTACTGGCTGTGGCTGCTTCAGGCACACTTTATAAATGGCTTTGAGACCTGCTAATTAGGACAGGGTGATATGATGGGACTCCCTGTCTCACTTGTCTCTATGAAATAACAATAAGAATAATAGTTGAAACTCATATAGAGCTTTGTGCTGGGCACTGTTTACATATTTAAATTCATTTAATCCTATACAAAACCTTATTATTTGTCCCATTTTTACAAACAAGGAAATTGAGGTAAGTGACTGGCCTGAGGTCACATAGACAGTAAATTAGCAGAACTGGGATTCTACCTTATCTGTCTCCTAGAGCCCCATGCCCCTGTGTTATGTCATGGGCATGTTAATAACACAAGTGTTGTAAGGGACCAGTCTCTAGAAGAGCATTTAGTGCCCTACCTAGCAAAACACACACAGAGTAAAGGATAGGACTTGAAAAGGGGGGTTTGCTTTCATCCAGACAGTCTTCAGACATCTCAATTTATGTCTTTAATGTACTTAGGTATCTTTGTGTTGAATGTTCTTTAAGAAAAATGTTTGTGGTACTTTGTTTAAGCACCAGATGTCTTTTCAAAAGAGTAGGCTAGGGCTTTTGCAGTCGTCTCATTCTACTTAAAGAGACAAGAGTCTCTTATTAGTAAAAGCATTTTTTAAAAAGAACACATTTTAGAAAGAATGAAAAGAATGGGGCTAGAAATCAGCATCTGAATGCAAAAACCTAATAGCAAACTGATAGAAAATAAGATCAATAACAAATGATTGAGGCTTGCTAATTCATAAATATCAGAATAAGAATATTTTCCATGTTTTTAAACTATCCATGACAAGTTCATGAGAGTTTAGAGAGAATAAACTTCTTTACTGTGAACAATAAAGAAAAATAAATTTAAATTTTAATTTTAAAGATCTGTACTTTTCTGGCTCATTTCATTATATCACATTGTCCCAAGACTCTATACATTGCTACTTAGAAATTCTATTCCTGTTCCTTCTACACTTCACATATGTATTACTTCTTTCTTTTTTTAATGTTGTAGATGTTGATCTACCTTTATTTTATCCATTTACTTATATGCAGTGCTGAGAATTGAATCCAGTGCCTCATACATGCTAGACAAGCGCGCTACCATTGAGCCACAGCCCCAGGCCTATTTCACCTCTTTCTGTGTTCTAGATATCACCTTCCTGAAGCACCGCTAGAAGTCACTCAGGCATTGTGGTTTTAGTCTCATTTGTTAGGATACAATTTCATACATAGGACTTTATTTTTAAAGGAAAAACAGGAATAACATTACTGCCTTCATTTCATGAGAATAATGCTGTCTATGTGTGTGATGGGAGCAGGGGGTAGAGGGAAGATATGAAATGTGTGTGAGTCGCTAAAGCTTTAAAGGGTTTGAGTGGGAGGGAGATGTTTCTAGCATTAAAAATCAAGAAAACCACTAATTAGACCTGTGGTTCTCTCTCACCCTGTAGCCTGGCAAAAGAATCCAGAGACTTATCAGTCTAACTGCTGCCCTCTTGCCAAGGCCAGAAACTTTCCACCACTCATGGGAAGATTTATTTTGGCTTTGGTAAGAGACCAATGAAGCATATTGCAGATAACATGCTAATTATTGTCCCCAAACAAAGCATACATATTGTGGGCAACTTGGAGAACCTTTAAGGACTATCTGCAGCTGGGAGTGGTGGTACACACCAGTAATCCCAGCGACTCAGGAGGCTAAGGCAGGAGGATCCTACGTTCAAAGCCAGCCTCAGCAACTTAGCAATGCCCTAAGCAACTTAGTGAGACCTTGTCTTAAAATAAAAAATAAAAAGGGATGGGGATGTGGCTAAGTAACCTAAATCATTTCCTTTCAACCCATCCATTGGAGACCTGGTTTTTTGTTTTTTTGTGTGTGTATGTGGGTGGGGGTTCTGGGGAGGTTTACTGGGTAGTGAACCCAGGACCTCAACATGCTAAGCAATACTTCCAGTTCTTTAAGAAAAAAAAAAAAAATGAGACAGGGTCTCATTAGCCCAGGTGAGCCTTTGAATTTGCAGTCTTCCTGCCTCAGCCTCTTGAGTAGTTGAGATTACAGGCAAATGCTACCAGTCTGGCTGAAATGTGTCTTTTCATGCAGCAGACTCTGGCTTTTCATGAGTAAACCTTGTTCCATGATGCCATGTGGCTCTGTTGCCCAAGAGCACTTGCTACCTCAGACACTGAGTTGAAAGCCAGCAGCCCCATCCCCGCCTTGCCTTCAGCTTCATTTGATGGCCTCACTTACGGTTAAACCCTGCCCGATGTTCAAGTGAACAAGCAGAGGTGAGCATCTTAGTATCTGATGCCAGTTCTGCTCCAAGATAGGTAGCCTTGGTTTCTGCCACCCAATTACATTTGCTGTGCCTTTTAATTTTGTTTTTCAGAATGATGACAACTTCTTAAATATAATCTATGAAGCCTATCTCTTCAGCATGACACAAGCAGCCCTGAAAAAGACTATGTGAAAGCAAATCATTTTAAAACTGATTTCCAAGGTCCTTCTAGAATTCCAGCACAAGGTTCTTTTGTGTGAAGTGGTATAAACTAAAATGTTTCTGCCTTTTTTAAAAAGTACGTGTAATATGAAGTAAAATGTTTTTGTATAGTTAAGTGTGTTTTCGTTTTGCTTTGTTTTGTTTTTTTAAGAGTCACATCCTTCAGTATATGTGGTACTAAGAATTGAGTGGGTAGAAAATGTCTTCGCTCAGGTCACACAGAAAATGCCAAGCCTTTTCTTTTTTCTTACATTCATGGGGCCATTTTAAGAATCTGGCTCTGTTTGGGAAGGGCTGTTCTCTGGGCTGTTTTTTTGTTATTAACAGGTCTGGTTATTCAGAGCGCCATTTGCTAGTGTTGAGCTCTTTTTGCTGAAGCACCTGCTGACCACCAGGTGGCAGTATCCTCCCACAAGTTAACCTAAAAAGCTGTTCATGAGCCTTTGGAAGTAATGATTGTTTTCTTTTACCAAAGTCACCCTTTCATTTGCAGAAATCTAGTTAGCATGTGTTACCCAGGACTTTAAAGGGAAATTATTTCTGAAGGTATTTATAGCTAGTTTCTAGAGGATGGCTGTTTTAGGAGACAACAAATGGCCCAGATTCCCAGCAACACTTCATTTAACCCAGCTCATGTAGTTTCTTTGGGGCCCTAGCAGCAGGATATGCCTGCCTGTGCTTCCAAAGAAACATTCTATCATTTTTAGCAAAAAAAAATGCTGAGGGAAGATTGCAAAGCCTTTCTTAGCCTTGGAGAATAGGTGGTAAATGTACAGGGGCATAATGATAAGGATTCTTCAAGCTCTGCAGCAGATTGATTTCTGTGTTCACAGAGACAAGGAGCTTAATCTTGGAAGGAGGCAGAAGAGCCCTTGCCAAGCTGTTCAGGCCCAATAGGGTCCACATGGGAATTAGTCCCTGCTGAGTATTAGCAATAAATAAAGCTTTGCATTTCTATAGTCCTTTTTATTCTTGGATCATGAAAGATCTTTAGATTACTGCTCAGCAGACAGGTTTTATTCTCATTTTGTAGATCATAAATAGAGGCCTAGGAAGAAAATAGGTTTCCTTGCAGGTTCTGATACCTATTTGAACTTGAAGCTTTAGACCTTTGTTCTGCCAAACATTAGGCAAAAGTTCTATTAGAACAACACCTCCCCCATTCTCCTGCATGAGAGAACTTTTCTTCTAAGGAGAAAAGGTGGGTGGAGAAGGAGTTGACTTTTACTGAACCCTTGTTCCACACTGTGCTTTGAGGAGTCTACTGTGTTACCTTCCAGCATCAGGAAGAGATGGGTTCTTTGTTTCTTTGATGTCTCTTACATTGTCTGACATAGTGATAAATCCATGTGAAGCTCTCTTAAAATACTTGAAATTAATAATTGCATTTATATCATATTCTCATAGGAGACTAAGACAAAGATAGAGGCATATATTGATCAGTTATCCCAAAATCAATGCTAACAGTGTTGCTTTGGCAACATATCTACTGAAATTGGAACAAAATCAATGATATGCTTACCTGCTGGCCAATCTTTAAAAATAATTTGTTTGAGGACTGAGTATGTAGCTCAATGGTAGAGTGCCTGCTTAGCATGCATGAGGTTCTGGGTTCCATTCCCAACACCAGAAAAATAAGTTAATGAAATAAAAATAAAAGTAATAAAAATTTTTAAAAATTCTTTTTGATGGCAATGACATGTTTAAAATAACTTCTCTAGGTAGAAAGAGATTAATTTCATTCTCAAGATTTCCTAATATATTTGCAGTGGTGAATGGCTAATTTCATGAAATATTTCTTCTATTTCGGCACTGAATAAAATAAAAAGAAATAGCAGTTGCAGCATCTCTTGTGAAACAGCGCCCATGTGCTGATGTGAGAGAGGAATGAGCCCAAGCCCAGTGTGCTCAGACACATGCAGGCTTCATTTGGGCCTTTTTAGGTCAACACCACAGTGGTCTGTTTTGAAAAATAATACGTTCTCCATCCTTGACTGGAATGAATCACTTTAAAAGTGACAGCCCCAATTCATCTAGACCAAAGACTAAGTCACCCTTTTAAAGGGCATTTGGGGACGGAATGCTTATTTCTTCTATACCACAAAGCAGATGAGAGTGTCTTTGTACAAAGAGCTTTCTCTAGAGAGTTCAAGAAAATAGATCAAAAGGGTTATCTGAGGCACCCAAAGTTAGATTTCATATCTAAATTAACTTTTCCTCTTCCCACTCCCATCCCGAATTCAGAGACCCTCCTGGATGCCACTCCTAGGTGTCTCTGGCTCCCAAGCATAAGTTGTAACCTAACTCAGTTTCAGGTGGAGCCCTGAGATACTTGTCCGTAAAGGTAGCATTGTCCAGTGCAGTGATGTCCACCCTGCAGTTGCAGAAGTCAAGCTGTCTGGAGTAGGGGTCAAAGCACTTAACCTTGGAGTCCCAGGTCTGCCTTCAGTTCCTGGACAAGTGGACATCCTGAGACGTTGTTTCTTGTTTATGAAACATAAGACCCTCACAGGGTCTGTAGGACTAAATAGGAGCAGTGTATGTCAAACAGGTCCTCCATACCAGGCACTCTGGAGCTGTGGGCTCCCCCTTCGGGAGGCACTTCAACATCTACCATGACCTGAGTGTTCAGTATGATGTTGGCACTTATATATCCGGGGCCACTTTGCTATATCATTGTTACAGTTTGGATCTGGAATGTTTCCCAAAGGCTCATGTGTTGAAAACTTGGTCCCAGCTGCAACAGTGTTCAAAGACAGGGCTTTGGGGGAAGTGATTAGCTCATGAGTGCCCTGATCTCATTAGCTGGTTAATCCATTGAGGGTTCATAATTAAAGAGACTACTGGGAGATGGTAGAAACTTTAGGAAGTTGAGGCCTAGTAGGAGGAAGTGGGTCACTGGGGGCATGCCCCAGAAGGGTTTATCTTATATACTCTCTCTCTCTGCTTCCCAGCTATCATGAGTTGAGCAGCTTTACTCCACCATGCCCTTCTGGCATGATGTTTTGCCTTCCCACAGGCCCAGAAACAACTGGAGTCAATCAACCATGGACTGAAATCTCTGAAACCATAGCAAAAACCTTTTAAGCTGTTTTCCTCAGGTATTTTGTCACAGCAACAGAAAGCTAATTAACACACTATCTTTTCCCCTTCATCAATAAAAAGAAAACAGTAACACTTGTCCCTTCCCAACAAAGGAAATGTCATGAGCTCTTTTAAGACAAAGTTGTCAGCATAACCCAAGATAGGATTGCTGGTTATTGCCCATGCATTTATGGGTAAAACTCAGTTAAGTTTCTATTGCTGTAACAAAATACCTGAGATAAATCACCCTAAAGGAGGAAATGTTTATTTTGGCTCTTGGTTTGGGAGGTCTCAATCCATGATCACTTAGCCCTGTTGCATCACAGTACACAGTGGTGGGAACACATGGTGGAGCAAAGCTGCTCACCTCGTGGTGGTAGAAAGTAAAGAAAGAGACAGAAAGGGGCTGGTGTCCCACTATCCCTTCAAGGGCACACCCCCATGACCTAACTTCCTTCCACTAGGCCCCACCTCCTAAAGGTTCCACCAGCTCCCAAAAGCACCACAGGCTGGGGACCCAACCTTTAGCACATGGGCCTTTGGGGACACTTAAGGTCTAAACTGTACCAAGCAGTGGTTTACTTGCAAAGCCAAAGAAGGCAATGTTATTCAATAAGATTGGTAGGACCTCAACATTTTTCTGAAGACACACTGACACTGCTTAGTCTCTGCATTTAGCAGGCCAAGCATGGTAATAATTTCAGTGTGAGAAACCTTTGTTAGCATCTGCAAGAACTTTCTGGTGTATATACCCAGCCTATTGGTATAAAACCACCTACAACTGGCTTCTTCCAGATCTTTCAAAAGGTAGGCCTAGGATAAAATATTACCAGACCAAAGGATCCCCCATGAAGGCCCAGATTGTTGGCATCTGGTAAGTTTCTTCAAACTTCATATCCTTTTTCTTTTCATCTCACATACCAGACAGGATTCTGCTTTCTTCTCTTGAATGATAAAGATGCAAATCAGAGAAGAAAGAAATCCCCCTAAAGAAATCTCAGCTATTGAATACACCAGCTCTCTTCCATTCTCTTGGGTGTTAAAGAGAAAACCAACAGTTCCTACCCATGAAATCCTATTTCCCTGGTGAGTGTGATACTGAGGATGGGGAGTTGGATGTCACATCAAAAATGAGTGCTCTGGGATGGGGTTGTGGCTCAGTGGTTGAGTGCTTGTCTTGCATGTGTGAGGCACTGAGTTCAATCCTCAGCACCACATAAAAAATAAATAAATAATAGAGATGAAAAAGAAATGTGGTGTGTGTGTATGTGTGTGTAAAAATAGACTTTAAAAAAATAAAAGAGTGCTCTGACCACCAGTCTTTGCTTGGGTTCAACCATATGTCAGTGCAGATGTGGAGAAGGTGAAGAGCTCAGAATTGTAATGACAGTTCTTTGTTTGTAGGGGTGGGACAGGCAGGGTTAGAGGTATAGGAGAGAGTTTTAGGAATTAGTTCTCCAGACCCTATAGCCAAAGTGGCTGCTCACTCCTTCTTAGAGGGAGGAATCCTTTTTGCAAACAATACCTGCTCTACCCAGATATTGCCTCTTTCTGTCTTTTCAGAGAAATCAGCTTGCTTCCCAGCTTTGGAACGTCAAGTCATCTTTAAGGTTAAATTTATCATTTGCAGCCAGCAGGTTGTAGCAACGCTTCGTCATGTCAAGTTGGCTGGCTGCACATATTGGTGAGCCTCCCTCCCCAGTGTTTTGCTGAATACTTGATTTTCAGATTCCAAATGCTATGCTCCCTACTCCCTCTTACAATTAGGGGAGTGAGGGAGGCAGATACAAATCCTTGGTATATTTAACTCAAACTTGGGTATCCAGATAGATTTTCACCAAATTGAATTATGAGTAATGCCTCCCAACAGCTAAGAGCTTTGAGAAAAGTACACAAATAAAAACTGCGTGTGCAGACTGCAGTCTTAAAACATCCGAGGGGCGTGAAAAGCAGATCACTGTTGGTAGCTAATATTCTTCAGGGGCTGGGTGCTGCAGAAAGCTCAGAGGCTCTGAGCCAGCAATCCACACGGCTTGGACCAAGCCCCCAGAATTGCTGAAGAAGGGAAATGCAAGAAATCCAAACCATGAAAGGTTAACTGAGGACACAATAGGAAGCAGAAGATGTTCAAAACAGACAAAAGGAAGTGTGGGAGACCCTAGAGTTGTGAGCCCAAACTTACAAATCTCTCTGGAAGTCTGAGGACTTTCAGATTGATGAAAGGCACCAAGTATCTGGAGAAGAGTCAAGGTAGAACATCCCACTAAGGTGGGCTGGCTCTGAAATGGGTGCTTTAGAGATGCCGACCAACCGCAATCTAGACATTCTCAGTGGGTCTCAAGATGGAAGCTGCCAGACCTGTCCAAACTTAGCTCCTCCCAGAGATTCACTCCCACTTCCCACCAGCTGTCTGACAGGTAGTAGTAGGCTTGTCTGTTTACAACACATCTAGTACCTACATCATTTAAGGGCTCAGAAGACCAAGACGGCAGTCCCGGGATGTAGGCTGCCATGAGCTCCTTATCCCATGTGCAGAAGTACAAAGAACACTGTCCCTAAGTATAGTTACAAAGATCTGGATTCTAATCCCACCCTCTCCTGTCTCTTTCTCTACCATGAATCAAAGGAATTTTTTTCTCTGTAGTGTTTTTCATAGGAGCTTAGAAATTGTCACTTGGCTCAGAACCAGACATGCTCCCAGGGGTGTTTCTCTATGGACAGCTGTCCAGTGGAATGTGCAGTACTCAGCCTCAAAGAGTAGCTGTAACCAGCTTTTCTTTTCCTCTTTCTTTTGATGATGATGATGATGATGATGATGATTAGGTACTGGGGATTGAACCCAGGGGCACTAAACCAGTAAGCCACATCCGCAACCCTTTTACTATTATTATTTGTTATGTTCTAGATATGGTGTCCCCCTAAAGCTCACATGTGAGACAATGCAGATAGGATTAACTAAGGTGGTAGAGTGTGGCTAACGGAGGTGGGAATTGGGGCATGGCTTTGGTGTATATATTTATATCTGGAGAGTGGAGTCTCCTGCTCTGCTTCCTGATGTGAGCTGCTTCCCTCTGCCATACTCTCTGGCCATGATGTTCAGCCTCACCTCAAGCCCCAAGGAATGGAACTGGCCTTCAAAAGAAGACATCTGAAACTGTGAGCCCTCAAATAAACTTTTCCCCCTTACAGTTGTTCCAGTCAGATTATTTAATCATAGCAGTGAAAAAAAAAAACCCGACTAAAACATTATTTTTAAATTTTGAGACAGGGTCTTGCTAAGTTGTTCAGGGCCTCTCTAAGGCACTTTAAACTAGTGATCCTCCTGCCTCAGCCTCTCAAGTCACTGGGATTACAGGTGTGTGCCACCATACTTGGCTCCAGCTTTTCTTTATTGTTCTGTCACATTTTGTCTGGAATAACTTTTGATGCTTCCATGTTTTCTGCTCATGCCGCTTTTCCAGGGTCATGAGTTCCTTAAGTTTGATTATGCACTGTGGAAACAGTAGTTCCCCCTGTATTTCCAGAGGCTAAGAAACTGTGACAACAGACATTCCATCAAGAATGAACCCCCAGAAGGATGAGGGACTCTGCAGCAAAATGTGCCATCTGTGCCAAAGTCCATATCCTGTCAGATGCTGGGGTCTTACCTAGGTCAAACTCAGTAATGTGAGCTGAGAGGGAGCTACCCCTAGCTTTGGATTCCTAGAAGCTTTTTATCCTCCTCAGTGCTTTTCCCAACCCTCTTTGCCATCCTTCATTCTGAAGATATCAGAGAAGCATGCTTTGTTCAATTTCATATGTCCAAAAAGTGTGTCTATATTTTCCATTCATTGGAAGTGAGTTACCTTTCCCCAAGCTTTTTACCACATGCTAAGTTTGGAGTCACTTCATTCATTGATTGAGTAAACATGCATTAAGCCCTGTGTACTTGGGACATGGATGGCACTGGAGCCACCAACATGAATAAGAACTGGTCCCTGCCCCTAGAATCTCACAGTCTAGCTTGGAGGTAGATTGATCATAAGAGAACATTATAGAGTGATAATTGATAGGCATAGGATATTACAGGGCCCAGAGAAGTCTTCCAAAATGGAGTGATGACTGAGAATCTATGTCAAAATGGGGGAGGCATGTTTCAAGGGGGGGAAAATAGCATAAGCAAAGATAGAAAGACAAGAAACAGTGAGCCTTGGTGTGTGTGGAATAGGTGGGGAGAAATTGTATGGAAATTAGACCAGAATATAAGCCATTCATTGTGCTGGAATTAAGAGACTGGTGGAGATGTAGCTGGAAAAAGCATAATCTAGACCTGGTAGTCACAGGGGAGTCATTAATGGATTTAATCAAAGGGATATAGTCAGATTTTTTTTTATAGGTCTCTGGCAGCTCAGTAAAGGGGGGGAATATAAGAGAAAATGGGCAGTTGTGTTGGCTTTCTGTCATCAACACAAAACACCTGATAAAATCAACTTATCATGGAAAGGTTCCCATGGGTTCATGATTTCAGAGGTTTCAGTCCATAGTCAGTTGGCTCTTTGTCTCTAGGCCTGTGGTAAGGCAGTGCATCATGGTGGGAGCATGTGGCAGAAGAAACTCTTCACTTCATGGCATCCAGGAAGCAAAGAGAGGAACAGGAAGGGGCTGGGATCCCCGTGTCCCCTTTAAGGGCACACCTCCAGTGTCCTAACTTTCTTCTATTGGGCCCACCTCTTAAAGGTTCCACCACCTCCCATTTGTGTGCAGGCTGGAAACCACACCTCAACGCAGGGCCTTTGGGAGATAGTCAAGATCCAAGCTATAACAGCAACAGAGACACCACTGGGGTCTGGGCCCATGGTCAGGAAGGAACTGATGACGGCCCGATCCAAGGGTGATTACAAAACCAAACCAAACCAAACCAAAAAAGGTCCAGATTTTTAAAAAGGTTTAGTAATCAAAATTGGTAAGATTTCATATATTGGTATGATTTCATTATATCTGTGCATGGAAAGGGAAAAGTCAAGGATGACCACCATATTTTTTGCCTGGTTGACTAGGTTCATGATGATAAGATTAAATAAGAACATGCAGACTAGAGATAATAATAATAATAATAATAATAATAGCAGCAATAACAATAATTATAACAGATATACCTATCAATCATTTGTACAGACACCCTATTATCAGACTTTATTCTTTCCTTTGTCCCTTACTAAAACCCTGCAAGGCACATTTTATTTCTCTCATTTTATAGCTGAGTGATCTGAAATTCAAAAAAAGTCTATTTTCTTTCTTTCTGTCTTATACTGGGAATTGAACCCAGGGATGCTTTACCTCTGAGCTACATTCCCAGCCCTTCTCTCTACGTTGCTTGGGGCCTTACTAAGTTGCCAAGCCTGGCCTCAAACTTGTAATCCTCCTGCCTCAGCCCCTGAGTTGCTGGGATTACAAGCATACACCACCACACCCAGCCAGAAGTTGATTTCTTAATTTCACCATTTCACTCAGTGCCTATAGAGTTTGCTTCTACTGACCTGTGCTGCACCCTGGGAGGGGAAACAAGAGGCAGAATGGCCAAGGTTGCAGGCTCACATAGACTTAGAAAAGAAGAACCTACAGCAAGTACTTCCCAAAACCCAAATCCTCACCTGGAGCTGATGATAACAGGACAGGGTCCATCACAGGAATGAGGGGGTCTGGGTCCCACAGGCTCAGGTACAACATTACACTGTCTGATCCAACACTGAACACAAGGCGTCAACTAAGGGTCCCACAGCTCCCCGATGGCCTGTGGCTCTCAGCAAAACCTCTCCTAGACTCTCTCTGTCTCCTTGGGTGGGTGGGGCTGTGTGTCTGCCCATGTTTTCCAGATAGTTACCCCAAGAGCCCTCAACCCCTCCACCTGCTCCAGATCTCATGTTCTCTTCTCCTTTGCAGGGGGATCTGCAGGTGTTCTCCTGGCTAACTGGAGGGACACAGGAGGGGAAGTACTGAGAGCCAGGGATTGCTCCCCTCTTCTCCCCTGCCTTTCTGCATGTAAACAGCCAGACACAGGGAGTCAGTCTCCTGCAGAAGAAAGA